CAGGTGGCCACTAAACGAGTATGACTTCTGTCTGGTGACATGTTTCACTGTGATCCCCTGTGCTGCCGAGCATATTTACAAAAACTAAGCTTCCCTCACGTGTGTACAACCTAAAGCTCTTGTCCCACAGCCAAATCCCTTTCTGAAGATGTCATGACTCATTTGTCATAAAATGACCTGGGTACTAAGCCTCTCAGCATGGCTCCAGAGTGTTCTGGGAAGACAAATCTTACTTTACAAAGAGTATGATCACTTACTGGACTGTTAACAGCTCCTCCTAAAAAGCATTTCTGCTTTGCATAAGGCAGAAGATGCCTCTATAGGTTAGACTCTGCTAGAAATTTGGAGGGCATTTGCATTTTGCTACTTTAGAATTACACAAGTGGTTGATTAAGATGCTTTGAATGCAGTAAAAACGACAAACCTTTTGAGATCTGACTCTGCACTCTGATTCCTCTGCCAGAACACCACCACTACCCAAGGGAATTCGGGTGCTGGGAACCAAATGGGCAGGCACTTGGCCTGGATTATTTGTCTTGCTGTGTTCGAGATTAGCAAAATCCCCTGCATTTCACCTTTAAATCCTGCTTACAAAGCCAGGCTATCAGAACAGTACAAGAAAATTTTACACAGACAATTCTTCATATGAAGCACAACCCTTACATCAGCATACTCCCAACAGCAATGCACCCTAAAAAAACACCAGCTGTGATTTCAGAAAGTCGTGCTGCCTTGAGCCACCATAAGAAAGCTTCCCTTTCTGTGCATTTTCAGGATTTCAAGCAAATTGAGAAATTTCAATCAATTTCAAGAAGCAAATTCAAGCAGCAAATGCCGGCAAAAGGGACCATGAAAGTGTGTCCAGGACTCCCACGGTAGCCTGAGATCGCTGATCAGATGGTTTGTGGTAACAGAAGAAGTTTCCACAAGGGACAGCTAGAAGGATATTCAATCCCAGTGGATCGATATGGATAAAGATACTGCACCCATAATCAGGACACTTTTGCTCACCGTTGGCTAGAAGATAGCGTACAAGCTCCTCATGTCCACACAGGCAGGCGTAATACCTGACAATAACAAGAGAAAGAAAATCAGATACAGCAGGAAGCAAAATTCAGTGTCTAGGCACACCAAGGTACACATACCACAGCACTGAGAGCATCCCTGAGAAGCTTAGAAGATGACTCCTCTTAGGAGTAAGGAGTTGCTACTGAACAGCACAGGAGTCTGATCCCAGCAACAGACTAAGCAGGATCTGTTCTCAGCACTTCTAGGCACTGCAAGGAGATCTCAAGGTCCCAGTCTAGGTCCTGCATCTTCTGCTGCACCACCAGTTGCCAAATCCATCCTCGTTTTAATGGAGATCATTTCATGAGCACTCAGCAATTCTACTGAATTCTTAAAAACACTCCTTGCTCCTTCTGCTGTCTGACTGCTGCACACTGTGATGAGCAGGGAACAGCACTCACTGGATGTACAGCAAATCCACTCCTCTAAGTCCTATGTAGGATGAGTTTTGTTTTCTCTTTTGTGGTCTGAGCCTTTCATCATTCTCTTCCACCTCAAGCAGTCCTACAAACTAGGAGAATTCTGTAATGTGCATTGCAGCAGGCAAATGTTAGTCTACATTTACTTTGGGAAGTTATTCTGTACTCCAAATATACTGCAGATATCTAAATGCACTTTAGAGTTGTGGGGAGGTAAAAAGCTCACACCCTGCTCCTCAGCAGCTGCACAGGGATTCCTCACTACCTACTGCATGTTCAGAGCCTTGCCAGACACACTGTGACCCCACAGTCACTTTGCATTTCATCAAGCCACGCCTTCACCTGAAAAGAGATACTGGAATGCCATAGACTTTGATGAGGAAATAGTCTAATGTAGCCAAGAACAGAGTGCTTAATCTAGGTAATTTGGTCACAAAGTGAACCACTCTTCTGAGCATCACTACAGCAAGCGTCAGTCAGATGAGGAGATAAAGACATATTTAGCACAGCACTGGCAGAGAAGAGAAGCAGAACCATGTAGCCAAAGCTCCCGAAAAGCAGAACCTGAGACATTTTGTAACAGTGCTCGTGGCTGCTGCTGCTGAGAGAGCAAAGGAGCTCTGAAGGCCCTACACCCCACCCAACCAGCGCTCCAGGCTGCAGCACTCACAGGGGTGTGCTGTCCCATTTATCACGGACATTAATTTCCACATCTCGCTGTTCAAGAAGGTATCTGGAAGAAAAGGGAGAGCAAAGTTACAACTTCTTGCAGCTAGTCAGTCACATTCTCCTCTTTCAAAAATGTAACTTTGAGTTCATACAGGAACTTCCAAAGGTATGACAGGATCTTGCATTGGATTTGGGGAGCTGTCACCTACAGCTGAAGGGGCATCAGTCAAACCTTCAACCCAAAGAATGGTGTTCTGCAGGATGGTCTGGCAGCTCCCTTCAAACTTAAGTGGTGCACATAGGGAAAGAATGGAATCAAACCCACCCCTAACAGGTCAGTAATCACAAAAGAAATGTGAGCACTTCAGCAGTACCTTCTCTTTCTCCAACTGTGTTCACAGCCTGGATGCTCACAAATAAGTGGTCAATTCCACAAGGCCAAAGCTGGACTCCCATCCTGCTTTTCTGGACACAAGCAATAGCACCAGTGTCACTCCAGACTGCTCTGAATTCCTGCCACTTCCTTGTCCTGCACATTCAGGCTATATCAAATGCTGCCAACAGTCCCTCTCTGGCATATCTCGAAGCCAGGCTTTGCCTTGCAGACAAATCTCCTACACAGCCTGGCTCTTGTTAGAGCCTGTCCACAACTACTGCAACAACCACCTCTGCTCACCACACGCAGAAGTCCCACTCAGCCTTCATAAAGATTCTCAAGTTTGGGCTTTTTTATCACCCACCACATCAGTCCTCCCTTTCACTCTCTTCATCTTTCCTGTCTCAGACTCCAGGTTCCTCTGACCACATTCAAAATCCCAATCAACTCAGCTCCATTCTACTCAGTCCCACGCGTCCCCCCTGCTTTGACAGCATTCTCAGACAAACCATTTCTCCATTATCACTTCTACACTGGTCATCTTAAACATCTGCAAGGCCACCCCCCAGGCCCTTTCTTCTACAGTAAACTGCAAGCAATTTACTGCTTGCATGATTACAATCTAACATGATTACAAAAATGATGTAGGATAAAAAGGTGAAGAAAAGTCTTACACTCAAACCATGAGATGCGGGAGAAGAGTCTGTTGTAAACCCTTCACCCTGCAGACAACAAGCCCATGTCTCCTGATCCAAAATCACTGCAGCTCAGCTGTGCTGCTTTGACGTGAGCAAGAAGACTTGACCTGAAATTTGGCATCCTGGTATTTCTCAGAGATTCTCCCACAGTCTACAGCACAAGGCGTCTAAACATTTTCACGACGATTCCTTCCCAGGGATCCAGCTTCCTACCAACCCAAAGACCATTTGAGTAGAGAAACAGCAGCTGAAGAGAGGAGCCTTGTGCAAGGACATTCGCCACTGGCAGCAGCATCCACACCCGCGGGTACGCAGTGACACTCGGACACCCGGCAGAAACCCCACACAAACCGAAGCACACCGGCAAAGACCCGGTGCACACCCAGCTCCCCGGGGTGCAAAGTGCACGGACGTCTAAAGAAACAAACCGCTCTTCCCGAGGCTGCGAAAGCCGCCGGGGAGGCCTGGTTGGGCTTCAGGTAAAACCCGTCCCGCCGAGGCCCGCCCGCCCCGGCAGGCCCAGCCCCGCAGCCCGGGTGACCAGCGGTCGGTACGGGGGGGACGCCGGGACCCGCTGCCCGCCCGGCCCCGGCCCGGCCCCGCTCACCGCACGCGGCTCACGTCGCCCTTCTTGCAGCTGGTGAACAGGTCGCTGGTGTCCATGGCCGGGACAGGCGGCGGGGCGGCGGCGCCGCATTGACGCGGAGGGCGGAGGAGCGGCCGCGGGGACCGGGCCGGGCCGGGCCGAGGGGCAGCGGCGGCGGCGGGGCGGGAGCGCCGGGCGATGTAAACACGGCGGCGCCGCCGCCCGCCGGGCCCAGCGCGGGCCCCGCAGCGCCCCCCGCGGCACGGAGGACCAACTGCAGCCCGGAGGACCAACTGCAGCCCGGGCCGCCCCCGGACACGCGTGGAACGTGGCTCTGGGGAAGGGGGGCTGACCCGGGACACAGCCGAGGAGGGGACCTGGTCCAGAACGTGGACCCGAGGTGGTCTGGGACCACACGGCAGGGCTCTCTCTGGATCACATGCAGTTGTAATGAGAGAGGATCTCATGAATCCATACAAATATCCCAAAAGTGGGTGCCAAAAGGATGGTGCCGGACTCTTCTCGGTGGTGCCCAGCGACATGATGAAGAACAATGGCCATAAACTAAAAACCAAGAAGTTTTACCTCATCAGGAGGAAGAACTTCTTTACATTGAGGGTGGTACTGGAACAGCTGCCCAGGGACAGCATGAAATCTCCCTCTCTAGAGATGTTCCAAACCCACCTGGATGTGTTCCTGTGTCCCCTGCTCTACGCGACACTGCCTCGCCAGGGGCGTTGGAATAGATGACCTCCAGAGGTCCCTTTCACCCCTAACAATTTTGTGATTCTCTGTGGGGTCCAGCTCTGGAGCAGGTGTAGGATGGTGGGGAGCTGGGTGGGACACACATGGCACAGGGCTGGGCACACATGCAGGGGCTCTGCTCTAGAAAGAGGCTCGTGCTAAGCCATTCAAGCAGAAAAGACGGGTCCTGGGCTGGTCCTGTGGGTATTGGGTAGGACACCCCAGGGGAGAAGCCACTTTCCCACAGCCTCGGCACCTGGCACAGCTCAGGGCTTCCACAGAAACCTGGGATGGGAGAATTAAGTAGTGCACTGTGGGGAAAGAGGGGCCAGGCTGATCAGCCCCATCCCAGCAGAGGGACCGTGGCTGACAGTGAATTACCAGATGCAACACACATGAATTCAAGCAGATCTAACCAAGTAAAGCACTGCACTCGGGTCAGTGTTCAGACACCCAGCAGGTGCATTTTATTGCAAAGAAAACAAAACCACAACCCTGTTGCTTCCAGGGCCAGACACAACTGTTTCTAAGCAATCCCAAGCAGTGGCCAGGGCTTGCAGACAGTTTAGGTCCAACAGGAATGAAGGTGTTGAGAAGAATAGCTGGGAGCCTGGCTGTCAGCTGAGATGAGCCCACAAGACTCTCATGAGCCAGCACAGACAAAGGAGCTTGTTGTCTCTGACTGTTCCAGCTGCCCCAAACTCTCTGTGAAGGAGAGATGTGCTCCTGCATGGCTGTGAAGGCAGATGGGAACAGACGAGTTGCTGACAGCAGCGGCTGCAGTGGGACCCTGCTGCAATGCTCTACGGTCATGCTGCAATAATCCATAGGATAATGTACCTTCATTTCACACTGTATTCTGTGCCAGGGGGATCCTTAAGGTGGTATCTTGAACTATATTCTGAACCTGCATTACATACTCCACAGCACAGTTACTGGGTCACTTCTCATTGTTTCTTTCCACTCTACCCACCACGAGGCAGCGTGCAGGATGCAGGGTCCTGGAACATGTTAGACTCCATATTACAGATGCTGTTCCAGACATCTGGGCAACACCTTGGAGTAATCTGTAGCTTGGCCATCCCAGACCACATCTGGCCACCATTCCACAGACGGAGATCCACTCTGATCTTGGCTGTACCTCCAGACGCTGCCATCGCTGACATTCCCCAAGGTGCTGCACTCCTCATACCAGCACCCAATGCTCTTTCTGAAGAAGCACCTTCATATCAAGCCAGAGTTTCTGCCTTCTAGCTGTGGTCCCAAGGAGCAGAGAAGGCAAGTGGAGGACAAAGCAGGAAAATGGAGCTGAGACTCTGTATTGCTACCCAGGTCCTCCACACCGGTGATTCCAGAGAATGTGCCATTTCACTGTTTTGCAGACAGGGGTGTCCTCACACAAACCATCCCTGACACGCCTGGTGTGAGCCCCTCTGCTCATAGGCAAGTCCCGCAGCCCCTCATGAATAAAGCAGGTGACTGTCCTAGGCAAGTCACAGGAAACAAATATCCAGAGCTAAAAGAGGGAAATTGTTGGGGGGTTATTATTTTTCGTCTCCAACTCCCAACAGCCACCAGGTGTCACTGCGATCAAACGTTTGGCAGATGGAACTATGGCGATGTCCGAGTCGGTGGCAAACAGTTTTCCAGGAATTGCTTTGTCTCCTGCATCTGCTCTGTCGCCTGGCACACCACTCTGAGAAGTCCAGCTTTGACAGTTTTTGTTAAAAAGAGGTTTAACTACATTAAGGTGATAGAAAAGCTTCCTGTTACAAATGCTAAGACAAAGTTTTTCTTCCTCCCTGTGCAGAGCTGAAAATGCAAGCACTGAACAGAGTAAGTGGGCTATCCAGCTCTTTACAGCACTCCCCAGCCCACAGGTCCCCGGAGATGACCCGTCTCTGCAAGGCTGGCAGGAGAGGGACAACAGTGCAATCGACTTGAAAAGATCAGCCTAGTGCAAAAAAATGATTCAGAGAAAAAACAAACAGTAAAGGGATAAAAAGTATCACCAGACTAAAGTGAAATGCTATCAACCAGTAGATTTCGGGAGCTAAACTGGGATCACACAGCCAGGTGCACCCTGTCAGAGACAGCAGAAAATTGTCCTTAGCCTCATGACAGCCACCCTTAGACACTCAAGATCACCTGAATGCTCCAGACGGAGAAGAGTGTCTCTGGAAAACCTTCAGGCCACAGGAAGCCAGAAGAGCAAATCAGGAGAACTTGTTAACTCATCATGAGGCCCACATACCCCCTTGGTTTCTTCAAAGTTTGAAGACTCTACACAAGATCAGGAAGTGCTGAGCCCAGCCAGCAGCATTGCTTTACCACCGCCTTGTTGCTTCTCTGAATTAGGATAGTGGAGAGGAAACAGGGCAGCAAAGCAGCTCCTAGCAGTGACATGCACCAAGGAATGGGTTTGTGCGTGAACTGATTCACATCTAACGGGTGGCTTTATCTTTTTAATAGCCACTGGGCATTAAAAATGTATTTAATGAGGATTATTGGACTTAGAAACATTTACACGGTGAAGCTGCCTAAAGGCCACGGGCATGCCAGCCCCCATTATGCTAAGTGCTATACAAACTCAAATTTTAACTCCATGCTTTAATTTACTCATCATAACAACAACTTGCATTTCATCCTGTGAGCCCCAAAGTGCCATCACCACAGCCACTGGAGCTGTGCAGTTACACTGCACAGACCCATCAAACTCAGCAGGAGCCATAAGTGAGGGGTGGCCAAAGAAGGGCCACATGTGGCTGTTCGTGTACGTGGACTGTCCCCCACTACCAACTGCTGGGGCAGAAGGAACTCCTCTGAGCATCTCTGCAACCCTACCAAGATACAAAAGGAGCTGATGATCCACTGTCTTCTACACAACAGGGAAAGATATGGAGGCAGGCTAAAACCACTGAAAACTGGAATCTGAATAGGAAACCAATGGTTTGATTCCTCAACAGACTGGTACCAATGTGGTCCTACATCAAGGTGACCTGTGATTCAGTTTGTATGCAAAGCGCTATGCAAATTGAAACAACAGACTCTTGCACCTTGACTTTAGGCACACACACCAGGGATGAACATGCTAAAAATACCTATACATACAGTGATAGATTTACAGGCTCGGCATCAGGCTGCACATCTGGGGCCTTTCTGTACAAAGGTTCCCTTAAAGACCAAGTGTGAAACTGCACCTCGCAGTGAGCAAGCGTGCAGATCACCGTAACAGAGAGAAGTACTGCTGCCTCTGACCAAAGCAAGTCCCTCAGTCCCTCAATGACAGAAGAAACAAATGTTTTTGAGTCTCAGTTTAGGCAGGGCTCAGAGAACAATTATGCATATTCAAGTGTCTTTTATCACGAGTCTTCAGGGAGCTGGAGACTCAAAGTTGCCTGAGGCATGCCTGAGAAATGTTCATTGGGGAGCCCTTAGATCGACTCTCATCTCATCTGGCTTACACTTGCTTAAATAAAATAATTTTAAAGATGTTACCCCGATTTACACCCGTGGGACATTAAACACTTCCACCCTCCCCTAGGGCAGGATGCTGAAACGGAAACAAAAGGACCAGAAAATTACCTGTTTCTGAGTTTTAACTTTTTCAACTGTTTATAAAGTCTCACACAGTCTTTATTTTTACCTCAAAATGACCAACTGAAACCAAACTATCCTGAAAAATAGAACTGGAGTGGAAAAGGCCTGACAGTCTAAAACTGAGATTTAGACATGGGATACTTTGCTGATGATTTCCCAGGCTGTTTTGTTAACGAGGCATGTAAATGTCATTTTTGAGCAACTCTCCAACCTAAAGCAAATTTCCAGCTAAGATGCTGCACCATGGCACCAAATTCTCTGTAACCAGTGAAGCAAGGGTAAAGTGCTCAAACTTTGCAAACTCAGCTTGGAGCTGTGGAGCTGAAAAAGAGAGTGGGGCTGTTTGTGGTACCAGGGGTGAAATAAGATGACAGCAGGGGGGATGTTTTCCCCGAATGTAAACATCAGCTCTCATCTGATTAGCAGCTGAATGCTAGAGCACTACAAAACCTGTTTTCACATGTGGAATGCAAACTCTGCCCAGGACATGGACTGAATCCTGGCTCCCCTCCATTCAGAATGCACAGGTGTTACTGCACCTGCACAGACTGAACACGATCTCAAGGTCAGGATCTGGAAAGTGAATTTACTCCCCAAATCTGGACTTTTGGTGGCCGACAGCCTCACCATCTTGCTTCTTAAGCCCAGCCACTCTCAGCCACTACAAGAGAGCTACATTTAAGTGCATTTAAAGGTGATAAAAGCATTGGTGCTACTGATAGGAACACACACACAGAGACCTACAAACCCACCCCTCCCGCTTCCCTCTGTTCAGTGATCCTCCTGGCTCCAAGCCTCAGATGCAGGCTCAGGACTTCTATTGGGAAGATTTGCCCAAAGACCTGTTCCAAGGTTTTAAGAAGTTCCTGAGAAGCCACCTGATCCCATGGTCCATCAGTCAAGATAGGAGAGAAACAAGTGTATTTAAGAGGGTGGTTCCCCCCATTCTTTTTCTAAAGATGTGTGTCTTCCTCAAACACATCAACATCCTCGCTCGCCTGCTTATTGATCAGGACATCCCAGCTGTCGGGGCCATTGATGGTGTTCCCACCGTTCACGCTTGGCTTCTTCTCCTGCATTTCCGACTGGCTGTCACTGGCCACATCCAAGGTGGGGTTGTCATGGCAGCCGTTCTCAACAAAGCGCAGCTCCTCCCCGTGCGACTGGAAAGGACGAGAGGAACACAAATGGAGACAAAGGAGGACAGGTCTTAAAGCTGCTGAGAAGCGCAATCAGGTCAGGCTACAAGGGTCACTGAGAACTTTGCAGGGTCAGTGGGAAAAGGTAAATTTGCTCCTAGCCCAGCCCTCGCAGTGGAAATGAGCTGTCCTAAGCACAGCAAGAGACGGGTTTGCATTCTTGCCAGAATGGACGCCCTCGCTACTCCAGCAGTGTCTCCACCTATGTCCCATAAGTGGACAGGGGAGAACAATCTCCCTCTTAACTTTCCAATCCCCTCCTTCCCAATGGCTAAGAGCCTAGCCACCTTTTCCACCCATCCAGTGCTCACCATGTTCTTCATTTTGGGCAGGCGCCTCTGCCAGCAGTTGTATATGAGCCCCAGCACAATGATGATGGCACAGATGGAGCCAATGATCACCAGCACCACAAAGAGCTTCCCATAATCACTGCGTGTCTGGTTGGGGTGCGACTGGCAGCTTGTGGTGGTTGAGTAGTTTTGGATACCAATCTGGAAGGAAGAAAGCAGTATACTAAATGTCCTGGCCTGCAGTCAGGTGGGATCCTGTTCAGACTTTCCAGGGTCCAAGTACAGGACCACCACTGTGGGCAGAGGAACTAAAAGCCAGGGTTGGAGAGTCAGAAAGTCTAGTATTATGTGACTAGAAGGCACATAACTAAATATAACACCATTTTCCATGAAAGCTGACACTTCATCAAATGACAGTAGGCACAATCTTATCTTGATCACCTGCACAAAGATCACACCTATGTGCATGACAAGGAGGCTTTCATGGGACAAACCACCCAAGACAAACTACGATCATAGAATCACAGACCACTGATGGGTACTGAGGCTTTGGTGACTACTTGGCACAGAATGTAACCATAATAAATAGGTTTCCATTAAAGCTCAGGTCCTAAGAGGGCATAGCGGTCTTTATGAGGTCTTGAAAGTGGACAGCTGCCCACTGATCCTAAAAGCTTAGGAATAGCTGCCCTAGAAATGGGGCCCCTGTGGCTGTCAGCAAACAGCCCCATATCGGTCCCAGTGACTTAGCAGATTTCAAACAGGTTACGTATCAATACTAAGTATGATGGGTGTAAGAGAATATCCTCCCTCCTCCTTCCAATCTCATGCCAGCACAAGGTCAGTGCAGTGAGCAGTGTTTCATTATTGATAGAGCTGGAGAGTCGGAGGCACGTGGTGAGGCTGCTCTGGTAGGACTCAGGTTAACATCGGGCCACAATTGCAAAGTCAGACCTTGCACCAAGACAAATCCATCTTTCTGGACAGTTCTAGGCGCTGATACTTTAGTCACACAATTTCTACAGGGTTGGTTTTTTGCACTTTCTCTGGTGTAAGCCAATCAATACAGCACTGAGCACTTAATTTGCTTTGTCTGATTGCACCAGTTTCTTAGGTCAGGGAAAAAACTGAGAGCAGACAGCCAACAAGGCAATGGCCCAACCCTGCTGCTAAAATCAACAAAATTACTCCCAGTAGTGTAAAAAACCCAAGCAGAATCAGGCCTACATATCCTGTAAGGCTAAGGGGAAAAATCCAGAGATCATGGGACTAATCTGTCCTCTTCTCTATCCTCTTCCAAGCTGCCCAGGGTTAGAAAGGAATATGTGAGAGCTAGAGGCAGCTGGCAGAGGAATCTGGCATCCATCATCTCTGGTCCTCCGCCTGCCCTTGTGTAGGCAGTTGTCTAAAGGAGTGAAACGCAGACCCTGGGATTGCAGAAGGCATGTGAACATGTCAAGAGAAGCCAATGTATATAAAAAAACAGCTGTAGGGTGAGTAGGGCCAAATCAGGGACTCTGCAGCACCCACACTGCCACTGACAATAGCATAGAAGGGATGACACCAAGAATCCCAACAAAATGAATGTGTGAAAAGCAGTTTAACAACAAAGACAGAAAAGCTGGGAGGAAATAACCCATAGTTACTCTCTTAAAGAGAGCAGACATTTGATGGCCTGGCAACTACTAGTGAGGGGAGAAGGGAGTTTGCCAAGCGTCTGACTCATCTGTTCGCCTGCTGTGGGTTCAGCACTTGGTTAGACTGAGATATGCTCCCAGTTTTCAAGTTGCTTATTTTAATTGTATAGCCAGTCTTAACAAATGGATGCAGGCAGACAGGTTCTTACCTCAGCTAAGCTCCTCTTAACATCCCCCAGTGCCATGAGAACATCTTTTGTAGGGATAACGCCTGTAAAGTAGAGGAAGAGATCAGTGCTGCTCTCAGCTCAGGTTACTCAGTCAGATGTATTCATCAGTCTGAAATCCCTAACAGGATGGAGGCAAGGGAACACACATTTTTGTTCATTGGTGCTTTATGTCAGGAGGCTGAAAGAACTCAAGGACCACAGACAAGGGTATCTCCAAATATTCTCTAAATAAGTAAAAAAAAATCCAGGGAAAACTGATATCAAAGCCTCCTAGATACCCTTCCCACTGCCACAGCAGCTCTCAACATCTGTGTCTGCTCTGGGAGCAAGCAGCAACACTCAAAAAGTCATGGATGCAGGTTCATATAGGTCATTTAGGCCATAATGTCAACATTGAAGGCCTCTGTCACTAAGCAGGCAACAGAAGCAGTACAGGAGAAGGACCTCCATACCAAAATGGGAATAAAGAGATGGTAAAATGTCCCACATTCACTGTCAGCTTTTGTTTCTTTGGGGATGCAGGGGACACACCATCAGGACTATCCTAATTCAGATAAGACTTAAGAACTGATAGGTTAGGAAGTGAACCAAGAGCAGGATGTCATACCCTGCCATTGCATCCTGCCCATGGAGTACATAAGCATCAGGAGAAAGCTGACAGATGCTAAGGTGAAGGCAATCCAGGGAGAGAGCAAATTGCAGATACAGAGCTTTGTACAAGCAGTGAGGGGCAAGACAGAAGGCAGATGTGAAGAGTCTTATGTCCTCAGTCCCCCTCCGTTCCTCAGGTCTAGTGAACACTGGGAACTGGTGGGATTGAAAGGGAAAGCAAAAGCTCATTCCAACATGGCTGAGCACATCCATTTGGGAGATCCTTAAATGCATCCCTGCATCACAGGAAGGCTCCTTCCCCAGCACTTACCCTGTTCCCCTGCCAGTGTCATTAGCAAGTGCTTGTCATTCTCGTTGGGTTTGCTCAAAGAGATCAGCCAGCGGTCCTGCAGCCCATCCGCCTGTCTGGAGAAGGCATCCTCCACCAGTGCCAACAGCTGGGGACCCCTCTCCAACCGAAACTCCTCCTGCCATGGGAAAGGAACCTTGGTGAGCACATGGTGGGAACAGGGCAGATGTAGCACTGCAGGGATGGTATGGCTGAGACCCCACACTAGGTGTGCCCAAAAGCCAGCAGTGTTAAACCTGGTGCAACAGTCCCCTACACATCCCCAGTGCCCCAGGCTGGATCTACATACATCTCCTGATGCACCAACCGTCCTCCTTGGTTCCTGTGGCTGCCATATGTCCCACACCAAGCCCAGCTCCTCTGGCACACAGGGATCCTGAAGCAACATTATCATGTAAGGTAAGAAGGAATTAGGCTCTTCCCCACAGCCAGCGCTGGGTCAGCGGGTGCCACTCAGCCTGACATGCTCCAGCCATCCCTCAGCAGGCTCCTTTGCTGCTTTCTCACTCCTGTGTTTCTATTCTTATCTCCAGTTGCCATGCCAACCTGAAGGCCACGCAGATGATTAATAAAATGGAGAGCTCTTGTTGCCATGGCAATTTGAAGCGCTCAGGGCAGGCACAGGCCTATGCCAAAAATGGCCTAATTGGAAAAGACATCGATGACTGGGGCCTGAATCAGAAGGGCCTGCCAGTGCCTACTCTCATCAGGGTATGGATTTTGGCATGGGGAGGCAGGAGGAAGCAGCACTTCGATGCAGCACCATGAACTGCAGCTCCCACTCATGGCCCCACTGCCAGCCTGAGGCTCTCTTTTGTAGGATGCAGAGGAAGGAGGAGCAGCTGACGCCAGGAGCAGGAGCAGGACAGAAGCAAGATGTTTCTGGTGATGAAGAAAGCAGAGGCTGTAGAGTACTGACAAATTCTCCATGGTGGAGGGAAGGGAGCAGTGAAGGAGTCTGAATGCACACGCACCTAGGTAGAGATCACCTCCCGATACACAGCCAGGTATCACTGTTGGGTCAGATCCTGCAGACCTCACTTGGGCAAAATTCCCAGGTATGCTGAGCGAGAGATGTGCCCAGAAAGAGATGGAAGTGATTCCCTTGCCCAGAGCCCATTGGGAAGACAAATGGCCTTCCAGCTTAACCCAGCAATACAGACATCATCCCTACAGCAGGTAAAAGCCTGGTGCTATGAAGTATATTAAAGCTCAAGGTCCAACCCTCTGGAAGGGGTTAAGCACCCTACTTGTCCCTCGGCTTTTCAGTGGGACTCAGTACTACACCAGATCATGGCACCAAAACACAGGAAATACGTGTAGAATCCTCATTTGCACTAATTTAAATTACAGTACTTGCAACACACATTCTTCCTCACAAACACAACAGGGGTCAGATACAGAAAGCAGAAAACAAAAGGGACAGGCAGACTGTAGGTGAGGTACCCAAACTGAGTAAATTACCACGGGTAGGACACAAACTGCATCAAGATCAGTGGAAAGGAGAAGAGCTTGATTCCAGCTTCGCTCATGCAAAGTGGTAATGGAAGGCAGGGAATGAAGTGATGCTCATGTTAAATATGTATGTCGACAAATGTCCCTTTGAATAAGGGGTAGTACAGCACAAATCATTCACTGGGAAATATGTTTTGAAACATGAAATCAAGTAGAAAAACAGTTCAGCCCTGCCTATTCCACAGCACCGTCTTCCTTCAGCAAGGCAGAACTGAGGATTTAACAGCAAAGACATAATTTGATCAAGAGACATCTGCACATCTGCTTTTCAGTTCTCACCCTTACAGTGGTTTAAACAACACAAATGCAAATGAACACAGGAAGGAAGTTACTATGTATTACAAAATTACCTAGCATTTAAAGTCCACAGAGATGGGAGAAAGAGTGATGGGGACTAGGACATGAAGCAAACAGGGCAGCAGGACTGTGGTTTTCAAGGACTGATTTTCTGCGTTGCAGTTGTTAACTGTAGCAGAGATACTTAAAACCCTTCCAAATAGCTTGTCTAAATCAGGAGGAAAAAGAGTGACTTTTCATCTACTCTTAGAGCATTCAACATGCTTTACTGTGTATAGACATCTCCCCATTTTCCATGTTCCCAGAAAGTTCACCTTAAAAAAAAAATAAAACCCAACCAACCAACAACTCACCAGTAGCAGCAATAGGTCAGTGCAGGAACAAGACCAGGTGGCTCTGCCCAGAGCAGGAGCCTCAGAAAGCAAGAGTACAGACACAGAAGGCCAGAACACAGTTCCTCAATTAAACATTTTGGTCTCAGGCTGTCAGGCTCATAATAATTTCTTAGAATATGAAAGACACCTTGACCCCAGGCCTTGCACAACTGGTTTTTAAGTGCCTGATAAAAGACCAAGCAGAAGTGAACAAGCTCTTTTACCAGGGATCCACAAGGGACTCTGGGCTCATGAATTAACTGCAGCTTTATGAGGATGGATGGACCTCTGCATTGGATTAGCAGAGCATGGCTGGTTAACAGACCCAGATAACACATAAGATAAGAGGGTGGGGAGAGGAGGCCCTTAAGGATGATTTAGTGATAGCTGTTTGGTACTTAACCATGCACACTGTAAATGGGAGTCCCTATTCCTCTGAGCCATCAGAGGATCATTACTATATGCTGGAAGGAAAAGGAAGCGAAGGAAGGAGAATTGTACTTCAATCCTGCCACATTTCCTACCAGTGAGAGGTGCAATGTTAAAAGCTCTCATGTCTCATGACAATCCAGGTACAGACTGGCACAGACCACAAGCCAGAAGTTAGTAAAAAATCCATTATGGTACTGACATGTGCTAGACTTAGAGCAAAATCATCTCTCTCCACCCACTCTTTGGGGAACAGAAATATTTCTGTCCTCCTCTCCTTCTCTTCACAGACTCTACAGGGAAGTTGAGATTTAGTGCTTTTAAAATGTTTTGTAGTGAAAGCAGACATCAAGAGCTAGGCCTGCCTCTTCTTCTCTAAGCACCATTCCCCCTGTGCCATCAAATCTCTTTGGACTGACTTACACAGTCAATGTTATCCGACATATTCAGGATGATGTAATTTTTTCCCGCAAGGTTGCTCCAGTCTTTGCAGATCACCTGGAGAGACAAGACAAAGACAGCTGAGTTCAGCTAGTGAATGCTGCTAAAAGCACAGGGTACACAAGGGACAGAAGCAAGGTGCCATACCCCCTTGAGAAGCACTTCTCAAAGGATGTGACTGTCCTCTAACTCTCTGTACTGAGGAGGAATCACCATTTCAGTGACAGTGCATGTAGCAGGAACAAAGTCACTACACCACCTTGCCACGGACCAGTTTACTTTCCACCTCTGTCTAGGAGGACTCAGGTTTTCAGCGGAAAGCTCTCTAGCCTGCAGCCTTATCAGCACTTAACACAAAACCTAACCAGGAGCCTCTGCGGACTTTAAACAGACTGGTGAGACAAGGCAGCACTTTGCAGGCAGGATAGGATGCACAGAGGGGCTAAGTCACTTGTTCAGGCTCCTGAGTACCAAAGGGCAGAAAGCAAAATTAAAAGCTTTGTTTGGTACTTTCTTACCAGTCAACTCCTGCTACATATCTTCTTTTAACCAGCTGCCAGTTTCCTGGATTTAGGAACTACAGTTCACCACACCCCTCCTCTCCCACAGGCTCTCCCAGAACAACATCCTCACAGGTCACTGTACTCTGCTCCACCTGCTCTGCATCTGGTCCCTGCAGGCAGCAGCACTAAAAATAGCACTTTCTTCTCACTCCCTTTCCAGAAATCCTTGGGGCCATTTTTGTCCTGACACTTCCAATAATGCAGGCTGAGGAAACAAGGAGCTTTCTCTGCTGTGCATGCTCCAGAGGGAAGGTGTTCTGCTTCTGTTTATTGGAAGCAGGATTTTGGGTAGCTGGGAAGATGTGAGGGGTCAGGGTTTTCACCAAGGATGATGGATACCCTTAAGAAGTGCTGCGAAAAATCCTCCCTGAAAGTTCACTCACCTGGCTGGGTGAATAGACAAAACTCCTTCCACCAGTCAGACTTAAGGATGGGGTTAAACACCCCCACAAGAGGGAAGGACCCAAGTATCTCCACTGCAACCTCCCACCCATTCCCTGCTCCCAGTGCTACCTGTGCCGAGTCCCAGGGCAGCTCTGTTGGCAGCACGGCCATGCGGGCATCCCCAGCCTGCGGTGACAAGCTCCTCTCTGCTGCCACAGTCTCAGTGGCTGACTCAGTGTCATTCCAAATGGGATCCAGCACAGGCTCATCAGCTCTGTCCCACGGAGACACAGAAGTGGGATGCTGCTCACTCTCAGAACGAGTCTGGGTGTCTGGGGAGCCACTTGCAGGAGAGGGTGTCCCCACAGGCACTTCTACTGTCTGCTCCATCTCAGTCAACATCGTGGGCTTCAGCATCTCCCACCCCACTGTGGGCTCTGAGACCTCCTCTCTGGCCGAATGTTCTTCCACACCAGCCTCCACCGTGGTCTCTGCAAGCTCTGCTCCTGTGGTACTCACAGTAAGCTCTGAATCTGCTCCCCCAACAGCCCAAGTGTCCCCAGTTGTCACCTCAAAGAGTTCTTCTGAAAGACTGGGAGATCTTGCACCAACAGTAGTAGAAAAAATAGAGGACACAGGTAGAAGACCTGGTCCCATGCTGCTCCCAAGGTCTACGCCTGGAGAAACAGAGTCCTCTTCTTGCCCTCCTATGGCTGCCTCAGTCACAATACCTGGCCTGGCGGAAGCTGTGGAAAACAGAAGGGAGAAGGAGTCCTCTTGGTCCACTGGTTCAGAAGATGTAACTTCTGGCCCGGAGGTCTGGAGGCTCTCCACTCCTCCTCTTGAGTGGTCTATAGGGAGCAGCCCCTCCTCTTCCTCTAGCGTAGAGAAAGGCGTGTGCAGGTCAGGCTCAACAAATTCTGCTGGTGGCTGGACAGTGGCTGTTTCCCAGTTGTCCACCTGTGTCCCATTCCGTTTCAGCAATGCCTTCTGAGATGCAGCAGGAAAGCTGTAATCTAGGAAAAGATCCAAAATACTTCATGTCACATCCAAAGCAACTAAGAACTCTGAAAGGCAGAGAGCTGGCCCCATTATAGGTGTCCAGCCAGAGACTGGGTCAAGTGGCAGAGACCTTCTAAGAACAGGTAGCCTAACACAGCAAAGAACAATCCCATTCAATAAGTGCACTTCTCCAGCACCCTATCCCATCCCAGCGAATCCACATTTCCTAGGGACAATTTGCATATCCATTCTCTCCACTCCTTTCTGTCCTGAGGCATTTTTACAGACAATAATAAGAGTTTTGACACCTGGCATCTTTAATTTGAGGTTATGAGTGTTAGAAATCGGGCTGGGACTAGGCTGGGACCCAGAGATTCATTTCAGATGGGATTCAGAAAGACAGGGGTACTAGCAGCAGTCAGCCACAAGCTAAATGAGAAATACTAGAGAAGAGAAACAAAAGCACAGCAAACCAAATCCTCCTCCCTGGCACACCCAAGGAATACCACCAAAATCTGAACCAACCTGGGCATCTTTGAAACGCAGCATTTCGATTTGTACAGCACCTCGTAGCATAAAAGTCATCCCCAAAACATCTGCATTATGAGACTCCTGCGTCAATAACGAACAGTTTTGTTTTGCTACAGCAGCCAAAACTAACTCCCCTCCCTCCAGCTTCAGCCCATTTGTTCCGTGGCTCTAACCATGAATGCATTTTTTTGTTGCTAGACAAATGTAGATGCTGAAAAGGAAGATGCATGTCACAAATGTAAGGTCAGAGCAGGCAGGGGTTTCTTCTGGAAGCCAGCAAGGCCACCCCAGAATAAGAAAAGTATCTGTAAGATCAGACATGTTTAGCTCAGAGTGGCAGACACAAATCCAGCAGGCATAAATCAGCCTTCATCTTTCTTGAGAAACTGCCCATACCCACGGAGCTCTGTTTCAGGAGTTTGCATCCCAATTAACTCCCTTTCTCCCCAAGACAAGCACAGCACATTCTCAGAGAAAGGGAAGGAAGACGATCCCTTCACAGCCAGAAATGAGCCCCCTGCCCTGTCTACGGTTATTAAGCAAGTGACTGTCTGAAATCCCCAAGGCTCCTGTCTCCTCTCCTGCCTGCCAAAGCAGATGCTCCGCTGAGCACAGTGGGCAGCAGCTGTCTGGATGCCTTACAGAGATCTGCACAAAAAAACTCCATGCATCCCTGACTCGAATCCATCGCTTGCTGCTGCCAGAGCAAGTGTGAGCTCCCAGGCAGAGAGGGCCATGTCATCAAACACACTCATTGCCTTGGATATTCCTGGGGAATCAGGACTGCCCATGCTACTCCTGCATGCTCTTTCCCATCTGTCCTGAGCGGAGAACACACTGCTCCATCCGCCCCAAAACAGGAGGTGCAAAGATGCTCCTGTTTAGCTGGCAAGCAACTTCCCTAACCCACAGCTCATTCCCTACATGCTGTCAGCAGCTCCTTCCAGATGTTGCCCAAAGATGAGCATGATCCACCTTCTGACCTTCAGAGCCATGGTGTTGGGACTGTCTCCCAGTTTTGTCTGCGAAGAAGCCACTGAGATTTACTGACATTGCAGGCAGAAGCCAGGTCGTTTTGCTGCTGTGTATCACTAGAGAGCATCATCCTGACTGAGGCTCTACCCAGGGACCCTGAGGATTAAAAGATTTTTGCTACCCAACAGCCTTCCTGGTGATGCTCCCCCAGAGGCCATGGAGGCTGTTAAGAGCAATCAGCAGCACAGACAAAAAAACCCCATCTCTCCTCCACTGTCTGGCACTGGTCTTCCCAAAGGCCCACACCCACAGGTACACACACCAGTGTCTGCAGACACAGTCACTCCCTTGCTAGATGGATGGTGGGTAACAGCAGGAACAGCCACGGACCATGGGACTGATGGCATTCAGTTGGGACACTCTTCAGACAGATGATAAAAGTTTAGTGCACCTCCCAGGGCTCTGCTACTCCTCCTGCTCCAGGGATACTCAGGGTTTGCACCAAAAACCCCAGCAAGAACGCTGCCTGCCCTGACACACTGTGGGTGAAAAGTGAGGGTTTCGCTCCTTAAAACAAGGCCCTGTCAGATGAGATGTTATTTTCAAGGATCAGTGATCCAATCTGCCATCCCCCTTGCCTAAAGACACTCTCAGCTATTCTCGACTCCTCTGCACCTCCTCTCTTCCCTGCTCCTCTTCCCACCTGGAGGAGAGCACGAACTGGCAGATGGGCACAGCAAAAAAACAAACTACGAAAAGCAGCATGAGGTTTGTCCCACAGGAACAAGAAATGCTCCCAGCCTGTCAGCTCTCCTTTGAAGTCACACATTCAACCTTTCCTTAAAGTGCTCTATCACAGATCAGTTAGCTCCCGTGGGGGAAAGCCCTGCATGGTGCAGCCACGCAGCCTTTCCACCAACAAGATCTAAAGATGCCAGAGGGACTGACGCCTCTGTCATCTCTCCTGGGCAATGAAAGTCCAGGGAGAACCCATCCCACTCTCTCCCAGCAGACTTCCATCTTACAAGGCAGCCAAAGACTGAAACCTGAGCTACTTCTCTGGGACAACAAATCCACAAAGTAGAAGCAGACACAGGAATCCTCACACTTGCTACTGTGTTAAGACTACCACTTGTCATCAGTTTCCCCACTACCCCGCATACTAAGCTTGGAGAATTTTTCTTCTGTCTGGTTCATAAGACCCCACTAATTAGAAAATGAACTCCCCTCAAATCTTGTGAGGGCTATTACTCAGATTCATGTGGGGAACAGTGACGCTTGAGGCATTTTGGTCAGTGGTGCTGGTTTGTGCTCCTTAAAACAAGGAGCCCTCCATACAACACAGTTACCAAAGGGGTTCAATCACTTCCCAGGTTCAGGCAGGATCACAGAATCAGCAAGGTTGGAACACCCCTTCAAGATCTAGTCCAACCATCAGCGCAGCACCATCGTAATTACCCCTAAACCATATCCCCAGGTGCCACATACAGATGCCAGTGATGATGAGTCAATCCTTCCTTCCAGACTTTTAGCTAGACATTTAGTTCCTGTCTGGAATCAGCTCCTACTCTCTTACAAACAAGGGCATCTGCCAATTTGTCATGATCAGGTCTCATTAAGGCACTCATATTTTCTTTTAGTTTATATCCCTCTTCTACAGTTTGAAGGAATTTTTGCACCCTGTACATCTCTTTGGTATGATCCCAGCCCTTAAGCTGGTCCCAGCATCTTCTTCTCAAGGCTCCCTCCAGACAAGCTGGCCTCTGTCACTCATCATCTGTGCAATGCAGAGCTAAGAACTTCCCCATTTGAAGAGTCTTCTCAGCATTTCCCTGGATTGCTCTACCCCCCAGCCCTAAGGGAAATCGAAGGGCATCTCTCATGTTTAGCAGCTCTTTCAGCATTCTGGTAGCAGTTCCCCTTCATTAAGTGGTCTTCTCAAACAACCCACTTGGCCCACCTGGTTCTCCTCTACTTTCAGCAGACCTTCTACACCCTGCTCCCACACTCTGGGCACATGGCAGTGCACCCACAGACCCTACCACCTTCCTAGGCCAGTGCTATCCACTCCCATTCCCACCAGCTTTTGTGGAGAGAAACATCAGCCATGGAACAGAGAGGCCAGAGAGACACAGGTGATCTGGGTTCCTGCTGCAGAAATGAGGCAGAGTCTTCTGATAAAGGAGGTAGGTATTATGGAGCTGGATGCAGTGCCAGATTTGCCTGGCTCATTTATCAGCTCATCTAATTTCAGCGAGGAAGCAGAGCACTGCCAAACCCACGGTTGCCTGAGGAGGTTGTAACTGCACACACTATCAGCTCCTTCCCTGCCAGGGTCTGCTGTCTCCCACCAAGATCAGCAGTAGGCTGGAGCACAGAAGGAGCTTGTGGCCACACACAGAGGTGGCACACACCACGTACCCCTTTCCAGCCACAAACAAGAGCAGCCAAGCCATGATGGAGCCAGCCTGATCACAAAGGGGCACAGCTCAGGAGAACCGTCTGCTGGAGCCATGAAACTGTCCCAACACCTCTGGCCAAACAGTCTAGCAAGGGATGGACCAGATGAGTTAAAGCAGGCAGCCACAGTTCCAAATCACACACCCTCCCAGAGCTTCTCAGTCACACCATCCCCTTGGGAGTCTGGTTCACCGATATGAAATTCCACACCTCTACCTCACCTCTTTGCCACCACATCATTAGCTACGCCCCTTAATGCTTTCCATCAGTGGTGATATTACTCATATTGCAGCATCCAGCTGCCTTCCACAATCCTCCAGCTTTTCCCTTCCAAGCTCTCTTACAAAGACCCTCAGGCGCTATTTTCTAAAGAAACCATCTTGCACAGCCCTCCTGCTGTTCCAAGTCCTGACCTTTGCATCTCCCAGCAGACCTAGGTCTGGGTCACACAGATGCATTTTCTTCACCCGGGGAGATGATTTTCCCTGGGAGAGGTGAACATGAGCTTCAGACCTCTGCAAAAGCCGCCATTCAAGTAATGTCTTGCTTCCTCTGAAATCAATACCAAAACTTCCCCGACACCAGATGGGCCAAGACATGGCATTGTGCCAAAGCATGATTCCCCAGCCAGACATTTAATTCATTACATTTCTGCTTCTCCTTCATTCAGAACAGCAGGTCTCAGTTACTGTCCTACAAGGTTCCCTACCCTGTATTTGGTATTAACAGTTTAAAGCAACTGTGACAGCTCAGGAAGAGGGTGATCCTCATTGTTTTTAGTACACATAACCTGACCATAAGGTCTTTATTGGATTAACTGAAACATGTTAACCAGTGATTGAATTACTGATAACTAGAGGGCACTGTAATAAAAACAAGAACATTCCTGGGCTCCCACCACAACACATAGCACCATTCATACTAAAGCACCTGCCAACTTTTGGAAGCACAAGGTGCACTCTACTGACTGCTAAAACTGCAGCCAGGTCTGAGTCCGTATCTGCTTCCCTTTTTGCAATATAAAGCAGTGAGACTTACTGCAAAAAGTCATACTCCAGCTGATTGAAACTGCAGGGGGATTTCAAAGAGACAAAATACAATTACTGGTGCTGGAATTGAGCCAGTTGGGGCTAATATACTAATCTCCCAGAAGAGCTTGGAGAAGTTACTATCTCCGACTCTAAGACACCAGGTCCACACACACAAAAGAGATCATAATCAAAAGAGACACCCAGGGTAGCAAAGTTGTTAGGTCTCATTATGGCTGGAATTTGCTTGAGGCAGACACCGGGCACCAAGTGCTACAGCTGTTCCCCAAATAGCCTCATACCTCTTTCCTGCTGAGTGCAGGACTGCAATAAAGCTGGAATAAGCCATCCTCATCCAAACACAGTCAGGGACAGCTGCACCAGAACAACACTGTGCACAGAGAAACTCTCCTGTCACAGGTCAGCCTTTGCCAGCTATGTCTTGACCGAGATGGCTTGTCCCAAGGCAGATCACCCAATGTGTCAGTGTACTCTAAACCAGGGCATAAACAAGAGGCATCCCGGGAGCTGAGCTCGGCAGGCGGCTGCTCAGCGCTAAGCTGCTTATGTAGACAGTCTTTACCAGGTGCTTCATTTCATTAATGCTTGGGTTGAAGATGGTATTAAGAACCGCAGATTTGCTGTCAGTCTGGATGAAGAAGCAGCAGATTTCAGTAAGGTTGAAAGATACTGGGATCTCTCTGGCCAGAAGCAAGTAATTCATCATGGAAGGGAGTGAATCTCACTAGCAGAGGAGATGGAAAGTATTTGATTCCATTAGCTTGTCAGAAAACTTACTTTTCTTTGAATACAGTCCTAAGTTGTCTGTTCTGCTATTCCCCATCCTAGCTCTCCTGGGATTCCCTTCTGCTAATTACTATGAATAATTAAAAGATTACAATTTTCTCCCCCACCCCCCAAAGCACCACATGCCATCCTAGTGAATCACCAATCTATAAGACTAGACTTGATACCTCCCAGCACAGTCATGCCTTGGTCTTCAAGCACCTTGGAGCTGAAAGAGCAGACCTTGGCTGTAATGAAGTGAGCCTCATGCCAGTCCACCATCACACTGGAAGATGCACTCCAGTCCTTGGAGGCTCACCTGTTGGGCAGGGGAGGAGAGGGACTAAGTGACCTCATCCACTAGAGACTCACAGGCCTTGCATCAGTTTTCAGAAGTTCACACTTCCCAGCAGTTAATGATTAGCCTGCCTCAACCTAGAGTCTTCACTGGAAGGGGAACATATGGGATGGTGCTTTCTGACCAAAATGAAGGAGAACACCAAGAGGTGCAAATCAGGGAGCACTCCGGGATGGATACACCACCAGATAACTCCTTCATTAAAAATCAGGGACTCCAAGAGACCTACAGTCCTAATGACTCCCATCTTCTAGCCCTAAAGCTAGGTGACATCTTGCATTTGTTGCCCAGTGTGGTAGCAGGAGACATGATAGACCAGAAGATTCCAGGCAACATAAGACGGGGAAGGTGGGAAGAAAGGAAAGGAGGACAGAAGGGCCAGATGTGAGTCCCTGCAGGTTCACTCTATCTTCAGAGTTGATCTGGGGTTCGGGCCAATTTATAACCGAAGGTGAAGCAAAGCAGCCACACCCAAACTACAACCTAAGAAGCTTCCAGGTTCCCTGGAAGCCTGAAAGGATGCAGAAGTAACAGGTTCACAGCTCCACTGACTTGCCTTCTGGCTAAAGTACAAGGCACTGCTTCTTTCCATAAGAAAGCACAAGAAGCACTGCTTCTTTCCATAAGGATATGGTATCCACATTCCCACCAGACCTAATCCATCTCTTCCACATGCGGCTCCACTGGGTAGCAGCTGTGCATGGGGTAGCACACATGCAAGTGCACACTTCTCTGCACCCTCAGAGAGAATGAGACAAATGTCAGGGCCCTTCCACAGGCTGGTGCTCACTGATGTCAATATAGATTCACTGTTCCGTAGCATAAATCTGCAAAAGCACATTATTCAGGAGAACCAGAGCCCCAGGCTGAGCTGTGCTCTGCCAGTGGGGGTTTGTTCTCACTTTCTAATGGACTAACAGGTGGTCCTATATGCCACATGTTTTCCAGAAATATTTTTAAAGGATGTTCGAGTGCGTTTAAAAAAAAAAAAAAAAAAAAGAGCAGCAGCTGCAGAGCTGCAGATTGTTATTACTTTTTAGCTCTTGCAGCCTCAAAGTCACACAAAGGCAGGGGAGTCTCCCCACATAGGCTTCAGAAGGACATAAAAAAAGGAGAGATGACTAATGCAGCTTTGAAATAGCAGGAGATCTGGCCTATCTGCAAGACCACCAGCAGTTCCAGGCCCAATATCTTTACACCAAACATGGAAAGAAGCCAGCACAGGTCTCCTTTCATAGCAAGGAATTTTCACTCTCTAGTAGTACAACAATGCTGTTTTGTGCCTTGACTGATGCAATATCTCTGATGTGTGCCTGGGACAGAGTACCAACTATGCCGGGTTACACTACACAGAAAGAAATCTCATATAAGGAAAACTTACACCATAAACTTTTTTTCTCCTTTAACAGCAGCTGTTGAAAACTGTTTAATAGATTTATACATTGAGAATAACCTAACAGATGTCATCACACAGTTCCACAAGGTATCACATGGCATCTGTCACACATGCAGCACGTAAGATTCACTGGTTGTGTGCCTCTCTCATACAGAGGCCTTGCATGACAGGAGAAGGCTGCCCAATTTAGGGATGCTATTACAATATCCTTTATTGTAAAATGACACACAGCAGGTTTCTAATTAAATTTTAAGTAGAAATGTGCTCCCAGCTCTTGAATAATTCAAAATGTTCTATTAACCAAGGTTCTAAAATGCCATTGAGACATGAGCTCTGGACACAGCAACGGTCAGGGGAAGAAACAGTGCTTGGAAGCACAGCAGCAGTTAGCTGGGCAGCGGATAGGGCAGGGTATGCAAAAGGACAGCTGAAAGAGCACATCTGTTCATGGAGGAAAGTACTGCAGGCAAGAACGGAAAGAGAGAGGAGCGTGTTCTGCATGCAAATGGGGCGAGGCATGTGCAAGAGGCAAGGCTGGGTTCGGTACCCAGTCATCTCGCTCTCAATGCACAAGCACATGCTGTTCTCCAAGTCACGTCCAGATCTGTGAGTACATGCAGGTGCCTGCTGGCACACCAATAAAAGCGCCGCTGAGCGCTGCCACCGCGTGAGAGCGGCTGAGCCAGAGCCTGTCCCAGGGATGCGCTGGCAGGAACGGGCACCATCCGCCCCCGGCATCCCTGTGGAGGCACAGCTGCCCCACAGCCAGGTCTGCAAGCGCCCCGGGGGCCAGGGAGCCACAGGGCAGCAACAGCACGGCCAGATAAGTTCAGCAGCAATGTCAGCGAGCAAAGGGCTTTGGAGACCTAAGCTGGGATGGCCCTTGCCCCCATAGCGTGCACTGTGCCCCAGTGGGCAGCCCCAGCCGTAGCTCTGCAGCAGCCTCAGCCCTGCGTGAGCACAGGTGTTTTTTAAGGTCACAGAAGTAGGAATGAAGATAAAATGAGACTTGTGCTTTCTAACTGCAGACCTCAGTCAGATCTGCTGAGAGGAAGGCAGCAATACCAGCTGAGGGAGGAGGGGTAAGGCTGAATCCTGGCCTTTGGGTAACACTTAATACATGCCCCACATGACACTTAAGAGCAGGAGCATGTGAAATAATCTCCTAAGCTACTGGAAACCCTGCAGTGCTCCTCCTCCTTCCCCCCATCCTTCTTGAGAGTATCTCAAAGCCAACAAGGGCCTTGGGGGGAGACCACTGAGGGGCTCAGTGATCTCAAAAAAACACTCCACAGAGGAAAGCAAGCTCAAACGCTAATGAAACCCATTTTGGTCATGACTCCTCAGGAAGCAGCTGGACAGGGTAGACAACAACACTGTCTTCTCTTGGCCAAGTCCACACCGAATTCATAGACTGAGGAATCCAGAATTTGACCCAGGCAACCCAGCTTTGACTCAAACCCTAAAATGGCCTTGATCTCTGAGTCAGGCTCTTGAGACCCTAAAGCTGTGCTTAATAGACAGCAACAGAAAGAAAGGAGAGAGAAGAGAGCATAAAAGGGGGAGAGAGAGAAGGAAAGACGTGAAGCAATGGGAAACTAGGTGGAGGGCAATACTTTCCCCAGCTCATAGCAGCTCAGGAATAAAGGCTCAACTGTAACTTGGTTTCTAAAGCCTGTGCTTGCTCAGGGTTCACTGGGGACACATCAGGCACTGAGGTGAGAAAATAGAGCTGACGTTTAATCTCAGGCCCTCTTAGCAAGAGTTGTGTCAAAGCAGGAAGACAGATCCCTGCATTCTTCCATCTCCCCAGAGCCCCTGCAGAGTGGGGAGGAAGTATGGGGTAAAAATAACCTACCTGTTGCCGGTCCCAAGTCCAGGCTGGAGTCGTTGAGCTCTCCCCCATCTTCCCAGAAGTACTGCGGGGGTTGCAAGATCTTGGACTCCTCATTCTCCTCGCTGGCAAACCCTGACCCTGGGGCAGCCTGCAGAGAGCCAGGGGCAAGATCAGGCTCTGCAGTCTCCGGGCTGGTTTGCTCATGGGAATTCATGGCCTCCAGGTGGGACATCATGGCAAACTCCAGCAGGGAAGTTGATGTGAGGCCATCGGCAGTTGGGTCCTCCGAGGATGCAAGACAAAGGCACAAGGTCCCTGTATAATGACAGTAAAACCACATCAGAGCTCGGACTGACACTCACTAGGCTTGTCTTCCCCTTGCAGCCTGCTCCTGCCAAACCAAGCTACCCCTCAGATGGGCTGTACTCTCAGCTGATGGGGAAAATTAGGATATTTTGGGAAACATCCACAACCATGCAGATGAGCATTCACATGGAGGAGTCTCAGCGGCAAGCAGCCATCTAGCCTGGGGCACCTCTCTTCAATAGGGCACTGATGGTTCACCCTTTCCAAGGTGTTTTTGCCTCTGAAAGGATGGGATGCCCTGTTATTCATCCATCCTGGAGAGGAGGTGGAATGTCTTACACTTCAGCCATGAAACTCTGGCCTTGTGAAGACAATGATAGTTTCCTATCCGACTGTCCTGATCCACAGCTATATTTTATGCAGGGGGACTGATTCAAACCAATATTATTTACAACTCCAATATTAATCATATTTTAAATCAGGGAGCTGAAAATCTATTTTTAAGTCATTAACTTGAACTTCATTTTGCATTCACAATGTTGGTTTTCATAAGAAAGGGCTGACCATCAGAGGTAAGAATTAAAATGTGACAATAGCAAACATCTACTTAACACTAAGGAAGCAGGCTGCATTTTACACTTTTCTTTCAACGTTATACCCTTGTTATTTCCATTTTATCTATTAGAAGGTTTGACTGACACTTCTTGATTCCTAGATGAGACTTTAATTGTGATTTGTGTCAAGGTACATTCACATGCATATTGAACTTCAATCAAAATGCAAGAAAACAGCACCTGGAACTTGGTTTTATTCAGCTGATAAATACCATGATAAATATGGAGACATAAGGAAAAAATAAAATTACCAAAACATGTTTTACATTTAAAACAGTTTTGTTAAGCAAGCAAAGTAACTAATTTGGGTGAACTGAACAATTTGCTTCCCAGTCCTCTGTTCTTCAGTATCTCAAAACTAGAAGATCTCATCCTCTCACAGCTGATTTTTATTCATAGATTAGAAGAAAAAAGGACACATTTTCTCGCTTTCTCAGCTCATACTCAGTTTCTCAATTCTTAATGAACTAGTGACTGAACTGAACTAATTGAATAAGCTGAAATTAAGACTAATTTGGTATTTTTCTTTGATAACCGATTTTCTAGACAACAGAAATGCAGCAGATCTAATCCATCTGGACTTTAGTCGAATATCTGATAGAGTGTCTCACGCAGAATTACCAGAGATGCAAGAAAAGACAGTAATAAGCAGGAAAACTGTATGGCATTGGCTATACAAAAAATGACAGAGGCTTGTGCTGGAGGGGGGCTGTTAGTGGAATTCCTCGAGGTTTGTCCTTGGATCTGCTGTTCTTTCACATTTTCCTAAGTGACCTTGGAATTAAAATTAGGAACATGATAACGAAATTAGCCAAGGACACAAAGCGAGGAGACATCCTCACTGCACAGACTGTAGGTACAGCTAGGTGATCTTGAGAATGGGAATAACAGAAATAGTATGAAAAAAATAGTACAAAGTGATAAGTCATCCCCTTGAGAACTAGCACAAAACATTTCTGATACAAGATAGGAAAACATCCATTAGAAATGTCTTAAGAGACGAAACTCCTGTATTAGAAACAGCTCTGAGATACCACTGGAATGCAGATGTGAAAATCCTTGCAGAGTCCCGAAGTATTAGAAATAGAGAGCTTTTACAAAGCAGTGCTGAGACATCACCTGGATGCTGCACACAGATCTGGATACACGTGGCCTGAAATGATTTAAGCAGAGCTGAACTGCCTTGAGGCAAGGGCACAGACTAGGCAACCTCCCGAGGTTGCTTCTCACCACTGTGTCCTACAATTTCACATCCCAGAAGGGCAAATTCAAATCAAGACAAGTGTTAAGATGAGCTGTGGGGCAATGGCAGATGGGTTGGTGCTTTTGCTGAAAACATTAGCCTGTTGGCACACAAAGTTTGGGAATTGCTGCTTACCTGCCAGACTGATTACCAAAGCAGTCCTGGGAACATTAAAATCCAGAAATGAATTTCTCAAGTCTTCTGCCTGCTCTGACACTCTCCACTTTCTTCCACTACTCTCTGAACTGAGCAAAATCCAATATTGGTTACCCTTTCCCATATGCACTTGGGCCAGGCTTCAGCACTTCTCAATCTCGTTTATTTTGCTCTATTGATCCAAGTCAAGATCAGCTGAGGCCAGCACGGCAACAAAAAAGGGAACAGCAGAGTATCAAAGGGGAAGGAAGCTACTGCAGCATCACTGAGCCAACCAAAATGCCTCAGGGCATCCCTGGGAATGTGCCTGCTCCCTGCCAGCCCTGCACGCACAGTGAAGTCCACAGCTGGAAACAAGAGCTCACACATCTCCTGTGCATGAGCACGGATCCAGAGAGACCTGGCCAGGCCCCCATGCCAATCCAGTGGTGCTCAGCAGGCTCCAACATGATGGTGCCCAGCTGACACAAGACACCTGCATCACTGACAGAGAGCACTGAGCCCTGTGCAGCCCACCAGAGAGAGCACTTGTCTTGAGGAGCTTACAGCTTAAGCAAACATGACAGAGAGCAGCAAGAAGGAGAAAAGAAACATTATTCTCAAAGTTACCCACCAAAGGAGAGCAGAAGGACAGGGAGACACCAAGTGGTCCAAGACCACACGGAATATTTGATACATTTGTGACTGTAACTAACTGCCTGGATCCTAAGTAAGCTCTTTATACGCCCCAATGCTTCAGTTTCCCCCAGTTCCCATTAGCAGACATGGTTGATGCGGCACGTCGGCTTTCCAGCCACACTACAAAACACATCCTGGGTCTCCCAGGCAGCAAGGCAAAGTCTCAAAATGTAACTCTGTGCCAGCTCCCAGGCTGGCTCAGGCCTTTTTTTCCATCAGCTACACCATGTTTGGGCTGCCTCCAGAACTCAGTCACAGTCCATCCCACCACTTCTCAACAGACATCTCATGGCAAGTGAACCTGGGCATCCAGAGAGTTATTTCCATCCATGAAGGAAGCTTGAATGCCGGGAGTTTGTTTACCCTCCTTTAACTCTGAAGTGTTTACCCAGTTAAAACCCCCTAAGCTGCATTATCTGGTTTACTGGGATGCTGTGCTTTCCTCAGCCCAAGATAAGAATGAGTCATGCACAGCCTGAGCAAGCCAGGTTTCTCCTGGGGTGGATCTGGAGCAAGACCTTGGGGCCTGATCCACAGGCACAGGATGCAGAGACTGGCCTGGGGGAACCCTCCGTGCCAGCACCAGCCCGAAAGCCACAGGGCTAACAGCACTATCACACCAGGGTAAAAATCAGTACCTCTCCAGACAGCATCCTGACACCACTTCATTCATACCATCTGCACCAGCAGCAAAAACTCAATGGGCTGAGGTGCCAAACAGCAGCCCCAAGATTTGGCACCTTCCCCCTCTCTTCCAAGCGTCTCATAAAGGAGCTCCACGCAGCTGTCAAGTCCAAGGCAAAGAAAGAATCAAAGCACAAGCTGAGCTGGGAGGCAGGGGAGCACAGCTGAGAGAGGAAATCTAATGCCCAAGACCTCGGTGCCAGGCCGTTTTCCTCCTTGGATGGGGAACAGGGATTAGACAACTTCTATCAGCCATCAGTCTCTCAATTTTGTATTCTAAAAGGTAGATCAAGAGATAGGAATAAAGAAACACAAATGAATAAAGCCCGGCAACTGTAGATGGGAGGGAACAGGGAACGGAGCCAGGGCTTGCCAGCTGCTTCAATGGGGCGTTTGTCTCTCATTTCTATTTTTGCGGCACCTCTGCGTAACCTGGAGGAGATGAGGCTCTGCATGCTAAAGAGGGCAGCCAGCCTTCAGGGAAACAGCAGGGCTGTGAGCACCAGAGGAAAGCCCTCCCCAGAACAGACAGAGGAGGAGCGAGAAATGAGAGAAAGTGGGAGAGGTAGCTGGAGGGGGGAGAGGGAACAAAGGCAGAGAGCACCGAAACCAGCACAGGAGCTCCGCGGCGGCTGCGAGCTGTCCTGCTGCTGGTACCCACAAAGATGACACGTGGAGGTAACAAAGGCCTTGCAAAAGGTGCTTCACCTCTATAAGGAGCAGAATGGGGCAATTCCAACAGCAGGGAATAATACTGTAATGTTACCTTTCCAAGTTCACTGGAAAAAAGCTGGCCATGGGGACACACCGATGAAATGAGTTTTCTAGTTGCTGACCCCACTGATCCCATAGGAAACAGTTCCAACTCAAAGTAGAGAAGCTTGCTCTGTTCAGCTCAGCAGAGGATTCAAGAAAACAGGACAAGGAGATGGGGGAGTTTTGCTCAACAGCAGAAGAAAATACCTGACAAAAAATTATCTGCCATCTCTCTCCCAAACTGCTGTGAATAAGAGCAGTTCCACAGTTCTAAACAATTCTAAAACAATCTCAAAATATTTTCTACATTAGCTGACCAAGAACTGCTTCATCCCTTTGCCACAAAGCAAGCCACCTCTCCACTGGACAAGGCAGCTGTTTAAAAGCTCCCAACTGGCCTATTGAATAGGACTAGGAGTGAAAGAGGAAATAAGTAATTTCTGTGTCCAGCTGAAATGAGAGGAGGGATTTGGGGAGATGAAATGGAACCTGGCTGTGACTATGTCGAAATTTTCTTGCTTTTTAATTAATAACAAGCAAACTTCAATTTCTCTCCAAGGAACATACAACCAGCCCTTAAGATGTCATCACATTGGCTTGATCTATGGAATATTCTTCAGTTTACCCAACAGAAGGTTGGTTTTACCTCTCCTTCATGTGTGTTGTGGCTACACCACAGTGCCACGGAGGCAGGATCAGCCTGCTGAAGGGAAGAATATTTGCCTGGAGCACACTCTGACTTACCTGTCTCTCACCACCAACTATCAGAGCCTGCACACTCCTCCCAAGCACAGCTGCACAATGGCTACCAGGGAGGGGGGTCAGAGCATCTTGGTGTTGCCAATGCAGCAGCCGCAACAATGTCCATCTGGCCCTGCTACCGTTGACCTTCCTTTCAAGCCCACCCCACACCCAGGAGCTACCCAACAATGTTATTTCCTAGGAGAGCTGGGTCAGGAATGGGTCATTTACTGATAATCGGTTAGGACAGAAACACAATGACCAGATGAGGGAAGCATCTGCCAGGGATATTCCCTCCCCCAGACCACCATGCCTGGAAAGGCCGGGGAGCAAGGCCCAAGGGCAGAGAGGAGAGAGGCCTCAGGGCAGAACAGCCAACGGCACAAACCACTTCCAGAACATAACAAAACACAGACCAATTTAAATAACAAAAAAGGATCCCAACCGTGGCCAGTGGAGGAAGAGAAGAAAATGTCGTTTGACTGAGGGATGTCCAAGCTGATTCCCACACAGTCACCTGGAGTCTCTGCACACCAAACCTTCAACAGCTTGCACAGGGAAGCACACAGGATGACCGTATATCAAACCAAGTCCCTTTGATGCTAATTCAGACTTACAGACCATACCTGTTCTGGGACACCTCTACCTAAGACCTCTCCCAGCCTAGCTCCCACATGGTCTTATCGCTGCTCTCCCATGCTGCACTAGAGTACTTACACATCCAGCCATGTCCCTAATCTCTGAGATCATTTCCAATTAGGGCTTTGGAAAATAAGATCAGACTGCCATCCTCCTCCGGTACTGCCAGCAATCAGGTCCCTTACGGAGCATCCCTCTAAAACTATCCACCTTCCCACGGCTCCAGTACATTTTAGAAAGCAATGGGAAAAGCACTTGGGTCAGCAGGGAGCACGTACTTACCAACCTGCACCAACAAGAGGGACGAGGCACAACTGAAGAAGCCCTTGCAACGGGACAGCTTTTTAAAGGGATGCTGTGCCAGCATCTTTGAGCTTTTACAGCTCTTTACAGCAAGCATAACGAGAGAGCTCCAACACTCGGCTACAGAGAGTGTGTGTGTGCACGTACTGAGTGGCTACTACCTCACAAAGGACTGCCAACATCTGCTCCCTTGGCATTTCAGAAGAGAACATCCAGAGCACGCGGGCCCAGGTATATCCTGGGAAATGGCACGGCACCGCCAGAAGATGCACCTGCTTTTGCAGAAAATTGTAGATGTGCCCTTTGTCAGCACAAGCACAGCAGAGGCCTGCCTTCCAGGGGTGACAGGCACCCTCAGCCCAGCGCTGAGGTGAGTCAAGTCTCTTGTCCTTACAATCAGTAACATCACGACTGCTCTAAACACCTCCACCTGCCTGCACACAAGACACTCCATGCAAGCAGGTGACGGCAACTCCAACAAGCCTGCCTGTCCTTCCCCCTTCGCCCAACCATTCATGCCGGGAGTCACAATCTCACTTGGTTTCAGTCTCCCAGACTGTTTGCCTTCACTCCCTCCCCAGATTGTCTCGTAGCCTTCACACCTCCCTCCTCTGCTGCTGCAACGTCTGCTCCTCTTCGCAATTCTCGCTATTGACAATGGCAGCTGCCAGCTCAGGGCCAGGGGAGATGCAGCCCCTGGGGAAACAGCATCAGGTAGACAGTTGTACACAGCAGAAGTCAATTTTCTTTCCTCAGTTACCTTTCATAGGCCTCTTCAAACAGCCCACAGGCTCCCAGGGGTTAACAGACCACAGGATGAAAGCCATTGATCTAAGAGAAAAACCACAGCCCACATACTTCTTTGCCCTCTCAAAGGCCCAAAGCATTTCATCTGCCTTGCCAGGCCTGTGCTTCCCCTTCTTGCTCTGTCCCAGCCTGGACTGTGTACCCCATGGTGCTCAGTTTGATTTCTAGCACACCAAATAAAGGCTTGTGGCTGCTTCGTCTTCAAAGCCACCCTGCTCAGGCAGAGCAAGCACTACCTCAGATGCAGGAGGGACTTCCCCTGAGACATGGTTGCCCGTCAAAATATAATAGAAGTCTTTTACATCCCATAAGGCCTTTAAAACTCACTGGGCACAACATTGAACACAAAATGGTTACACTCCACTCCAGACTCTGCAGCAGAGCAGTGAGGACCACCCTGCCACATGCTGCATAGCAGACTCTCCCCCAAGAGTCTCCACTCTGCAAACAACCTCACGCATCCCCGGCAAAAAAAACTCATGCAAAGGTTAGGTGGTCCCAGGGCACATGTATGGGTCCTGACTACCTTCCCAACACATCGGGCAGGACAGAAATAGCCGAGAGTGGTTGCAGTTGGTATACAGAGGGCGGGCTGCAAAGCTGGCTGCCCAACAGTAACAAATTATCACCAGAACAAGAATGTACATCCAAACTCTGGCAACCACAACAGGGCTTAACCAGGCATAGGGACGATGGGGGGCTGATCTGAGCCCCAGCAGGGTGTATCTTCCTTGCCAGCATCCCTGGCCCTCTGAACAAATCAACACACGTGTTTGCTTTGCCTCGGTGTGGGCTGTGCTCATGTAGCTGACAAATAGCCTCTCCATTCTTTGGGGATTACGTGTTTCAACAGTGTCCTGGTTTCAACAAATAGCCAGCAAGAACAAGAAGCAAGTTCACTCAAGCACCAGCTGCGAGCCATGATGCACCTTCCCTGCAGCCCATCTCTCCTGGCCCTGCAGCAGGGCTGCCAGGGCAGCTGCTGCTGCTCACTCAGGTACCCACAAAATGCCGGAGCTTCTTCCCACACTGAGGGAGTGGAAAAACTTTTGTGCGCTCTGATCTGTAGCTCGTCGCCAGCAGCTTCCCCTTGAGGGCTTAATGTAGTTATTTCTACCCCTGATGCCTATAATTAAATGAACATTTCCTTATGGCACTGAGGAGGCCAAGCTAAAACTGACTACAGGGAATTTTCATCCATCCTGATCTATACTCCCTCATCTCTGGCTTGTTCACACAATGCTAACAAGGCATCTTCTAAGCAGGCAGAAGGGAAAAAAACACGCCTTAAATAGCCCACATGAAGACAAGCACCTGGGGAGATAAAAAGAGGAAAGAGACCAATTCCCTCCTTGTCCCCCTGCTTTTAATCACATAATTTTCCTGCTTGCAAAACCAAAGGGGCTTAGATACCCTAGAGCCTGGAGAGATGTTTCCACGCTCTGCCAGCAGACTTGTGCTGCTCAGCAGTCTGATGGGACCCTCATGAGGTGCATGTCCCATTTCAGCACATCCTGCAGGTCTGCAGAGGCTCCCAATTGAGGGAAGCTCTTTTTCAGGGATTAACAATTCCTGTCCTGCAGGGCTGGAGAAGCGAAGCCAGAGTGCACCACGTTATTTCAGACCAGAACAGATCCTAAACCACTGAAAAAAGCTACTAACCAAAACAGGCCTTAATGTATAAATTCCCAGTAATCTGTATCTCCACTTCTGACCTCCCATCTAGGTAGAAGTCCAGTCATCTGGAGAAGTCTGGTCAATTGAGTCCAGCCCTCCAGTATCTCTACAGCCCACCAGGATTATCAGTTTCACTAGAGTAGGAACTGAGCTGTCCCTCGGAGCTGCCACGTGCCTCCCACCCATACTCCTATCCCTGCCAGGACAGCAGAGAGGATCAGAGGGAAAGCCAAGGACCCAAATCCTCTGTATCACCACCAGCTGGACAGCAATACCAGAAAGTTTCCATCAGCCTCAGCAGAATAGGAAACACACCCTCCCCTCAGCATAACCGTACCAGTGGTGGTCCTTTTGGCTGCCACAGTGTAAAACCACCACGAGGTCCATCTCCTTCCCATGCAGAGCAAATGCAGCTTTCTGGCTATGGGGCTGGCAGCTGGGCAGGGTGGGAATATGGCAGTTCCCCCACCCCCCGCCCATGCATCTTGCCCTCCACTGTGGAGGAGGCAGAGGTTTGGCTGAATTTGGAGACTCGGGTTTCCTGCTGAAATGCGGCTAAAGAACCTTTGCCAGCTGTGCCCGAGGTTTTCCCTTAATGTGGACAACCTGCCTGGAGGAAGCCACAAAATTGGCTCCCTGCTCAGCTCTGGAAAGACTTATTGCTTCTGTGCCACTGAGTATTGGCACAAAACCCCAACAGGTTTTCTGATCCATTTTTGCTCTTTAAGCTCACTATTGTTTGCAAACCTAAAAGGCTTTATCTCTTCTCTTTAGGGAGTCCCAGACGGCAGAGACTCACAGCTCATGGACAGAATGGCTCCACAGATGACACATTCCCCCATGAACATTTTCAGGAGATTGGGGTAATAAGAGAGATGTGCCAGGGGGCTGCATGTCACTGTATCACAGCTCGGTCGTGCTGGAAGACAGTGACTGGTTGGTAACTCAGCCCTTCCCTCCCTGCCAGAATGACTCAAGACAAAGGCTCCCCCACACTTTAAATGTCCCCGTTCAGAACTCCTGTTCCACACTAACCAGATTTCTGTACAAAGGGATGGTGCAGGGAGGAAAAGGGCAATCTCAGCCTCACAGGTCTTTAGGGGATCCCTTTGTTGGGAAATTTCCCTAGACTATTTAAAAATAGAAGCAGAGCCTTCACAACTATTCCGAGTATAATTATTAGCGCACTTAATTGCCTTTCCCTGGCACCCTACCTCTCCTCCAAATTTCAAGAGGAGGCTCTTGGGGAAACGCGTAGCAATTTGCGGTTCCCCGTTCCTTTGTACCAGTTTCGCGGTAGTTCGCAAAATCACCACGACGCCAGACGAAGCCATCGATACCCGGGCGGGCGGTCTGAGGCAGCGCTGCCGCAGCCGGGGCTGCCCCGGCCGGGCCGCGACCACCCACCCCCGGCTCCGCCAGCGCTACCGGTGCTCACGGGGTCCCCGCAGGGTCCAGCGCCGCGTGCCCCCTCTCCGAGGCAGGAGAGCCCGGGAGAACCCCCGTCCCCGCGGGGTGAAACCCACGTGCATCCAGCCCGCCATGCCGGGAGCGCAGGGGTCCCCTGTCACCCCCGGAGGTCCCGGGGCAGAGACGGGCCGCTCCAGAGGGCTCTGATGTTCGGGTGGGGGGCAGCGCCCGGTACCCAGGGAGAGCTCCAGGGTAGGGGATCCGCACAAGTCCCGGTACGCGGGGTCAACGGTGCCTGTGCGGGGGTGGGTGATGGAGACCTTCCTGCTGCAGAGGTCCCGGTGCCCCGACGCACTGGACCCTCCGCAGACCGCGGTTCTCCAGGATGAGGGGGGTCAGACCCGCCCCCCGCTGGGGGTCCCGGTGCTCGGGGCGCTCCGGTGCCCGCGGAAAGGACCGACCCCCACCCTCTGCCCAGCCCGCCGCGGGGGGGTCCCGCCCCAGCCCCGCCAGCCTCACTCACCCGCGGCCAGAAACAGCAGCAGCAGCAACGCCGGGGCCCGGTGCAAGGGCTGCATGGCGGCGGCCGCTGCCCTGCCGCGCCGCCTCTTCACGGGGAGCGGGGCCGCCCCGCCGCCCGCCGGGCTCTGCCCCTCGCCGCCGCGCCCGCCCGCCGCCCGGCCCCGCACCGCATCCCGCCGCCCGGCACCGCCTCCTCCCGCCGCCGCTCCAGGGGCGGGGGAACCGGTGCGGGGGGGTCCGAGCTGCCCGCCGGGTGCGCGGACGGAGCGGCGGGGCAGAGGCGGAGCGCAGCTCTCGCTTTGGCTCCTAATTTCTGGCTGCGGAGCCACCGCCCCCCGCCCGGTCCGGCGCCCCCCCAGCCGCAGGGCCCCGCACGCCGCCCCGGGCGCCCACAACGAGCGCCGGCGGAGCGGCTGCTTGCGCCAGCCGCGGGTGATCAGCCCTGGGGGTGGGAAGGGGGGATGCGCCGGACCCCGCCGGCGGCAGGGGCAGAGCCTGGCGGGACGGCGGCTCCCTGTCAGCCGGCACACCCAGGTCCGGCAGGGACGGTCCCCAGACCAGAGACTCTTCACCTCTGCCTGCTGACCTCTCGTCAGCTGCCCATGACCCACAGGACCACTGTGTCTCCTTCACTCCTCAGCTCCTGCCTCACTTCATCACCTGGAAAAACTTCTCCCCCCTGGGCAACTTCATTTCCCCACTTCTGGAGGCCATCTGGTCCAAG